GACTGTTGCAGAGATGGTTGTCCTTCTGGAAGGTTCTCTCATCTCCACAGAGGAACTCTGGAGCTCTGTCAGAGTGACTATCGGGTTCTTGGTCAACTCCCTGACCAAGGCCCTTCTCCCCCGGTTGCTCAGTTTGCCCGGGCGGCCAGCTCTAGGAAGAGTCTTGGTGGTTCCAAACTTCTTCCATTTAAGAATGATGGAGGCCAATGTGTTCTTGTGGACCCTTCCCCAGATCTGTGCCTTTACACAATCCTGTCTCGGAGCTCTACGGACAATTCCTTCGACCTCATGGCTTGGTTTTTGCTCTGACATGCACTGTCAACTTTATACCTTATATAGACAGGTGTGTGCCTTTCCAAATAATGTCCAATCAATTGAATTTACCACAGATGGACTCCAATCAAGTTGTAGAAACATCACAAGGATGATAAATGGAAACAGGATGCACCTGAGCTAAATTTCGAGTCTCATAGCAAAGGGTACTTATGTAAATAAGGTATCCGTTTACGTTTAATACATTTGCAAAAATGTCTAAAAACCTGTTTTTGCTTTGTCATTATGGGGTATTGTGTGTAGATTGATGAGGATATAATTATTATTTTTTAAATTAGAATAAGGCTGTAACGTAACAAAATGTGGAAAAAGTCAAGGGTTCTGAATACTTTCTGAATGCACTGTATATGGGCTTTCAGTTAAGTGCATTATTTTGTTGTTGTTGAACATTACTCCAATTTGGCATGTTTCCTTGTCTGTAGTCAAATGTTGTGAATGTTGACAGCAGCTAAAATATGGCAATTATGGCAAGTTATTTTGTAACACTAATTTAGGTAAGCCCCTATTCAGGCTTATTGTCTTTCTGGATTTCCATGTCAGTTATGCAACTAATTTGTTACGCAGGCATTGCTTTTGTTTGCTTAGCCTTTCAAAATAACTTTACATTTGTCTCTCTTAGTAACATAGCGTGCTACTGGGTAAGTCCATCACTCATCGGCTTATGGGTAGTGACACGCCCAAGTTGTTTTCAGGTTGTTTCCCCAAAATGGCACTATCACAGCGTAGCTTGTTAAACATGCACACTAGTTGCCAGCTGTCGTTCGAGGAAGTATGAGATTCAAGTGAACATTTGAAATTCATCCGAGCACCTCACACTGGTTTAGTACCTCCAGTGTAATCTCTTCTTGAAGTATTGTATGAATATGTTTGTATATTTAAAAGGGTTGAAGGTGCTGCCTCTGGTGGCCAGTTCACTAAATTGGATCGATAACCCTAGTCGAGATATCACACGCAAACCTATTTGTAATCATGTTTCAGTACTATTACTTGGATCAATACTGACAGCTTAGCAATCAGTATTATTGAAATGTCCAAAGCCAATATCATGAGAGGTCTTATGGGTCGTTCCACAAATACTGCCTTTTATGTCCTCTAGACAAATAGGTGTGTACATTTGTCTTAAAACATTCAATTTAACAGTTGGATAACACATCTATGCTCTAACTAAACCATGTAAAAAAAATCCAATAGCAGTGTGTTTTCATAAAAATAAGTTCTCTTTAGATCCCTATTTTGGCATGTCCGGTCATATTTGTCCAATTTCTAGGAAGAATTGAACCCACTTAACCCCAAGGTTCTTCCCGGTTTTCACCATCAGTGGAAAGCCGTAGTTATTGTGTTGCTTTGGGAATGTTATTTCTGAAGATTTGTACTTATTTAATGTGATTATTGATACATTTACATCTGTACCTCAGGGTTAATGTCAACCCTCTAAGGTGAACTAAAACTATTCCTTAAAAATAAATGTAAACAAACATTGAACATCTAATAGTCAAATCATAGTATAAAAAGCAGGTGAGCTGGTTCTACAATTTTTTCAAATTCTCTGGTGTTTTGTGGTGGAAAACATCGCGCCGAGCATAACACGTCAACCCTGTTACCCATATAGATAGGCTAGAAATGTTTAAAACAAGTTCAAACCTCTTGAAATGGGAAAAATATTTATTATGAAGTTGAACATGTGCTCTTTATGACCATGTTAAAATTAGGTGAAATAAAAATACTATTTGTGTTATGACACTTATGCTTTGGTGAGTATTCTGTAGGGTCTGCACTGAAAAATAATAACACGGAGCTTGAACCCTAATACAGGCCAGAAAACACCATTTTAATACTTGCAAACTTGAGTAACAGCTTTGCTAATACCCAAAGTATGCAATATATAATTACAGGTAAGCACAGCGATGAATGAGAATCAGTGTTAAACTCGGCGGGATTAGCAGGAGCTTCATAAAGCTGGGGAGATTTCCTCCCATATCTCCCAGTGACTGTGTCCGTGGGTGTGTGTGCAGTGAGTGTGTGGGTGCAGGTAACAGGCTGCTCATTTGAGTGGTGGAAATCAGACAGCATTAAAACTTCACCTGAGGCTGACACCAATGTCTTGATTCTATGGAGCTTCTGTGTACCCGGCCAAATGAACCCCATTCTGGGTGCCGAGGAATGTGCATTAGCCCCGTCCCGTGTGAGTCAAATTCACCTCAGGTGCACCCCTCCCCTTCCCTTCCACATCCAATCCCAGAGATAAGGTACCGTTTCACAGCCGTACTGTGGGTTGGAATGTGAAAGAGCCGTTATCCTCCACAGCCACTATTATCCCTAAGGCACATGAAGATACATTTAGTAAATTCTTATTGCTCAAGTAATAGGATGCAAACAATTAAACCGACAAAGCCTGCAACAAGACAGTATTTATCCTGTTGAACTAAAGCCTAAGTATTAGCCTGGGGTGAGTCCAGGTGGGCCTCCGCACTAAAGCAAACAGGAAAATAGGAGGGGTGTTCGACAACAATGACAAAAATCCATCAAGGGCTTACCAAGAAACATTTCCAAAAGGAATAATTCAACTAATTAATCTCTGCCTTTTTTGTTGAGTGCTCCAACTCCTTTCTGTCTCGAATTGGTCCTTTTGGAAGCTTTTCTTGGTAAGCCCTTATCATGGGAGTGCTTCTAAACCACCTCTGTTTGTCAGTCTTGTTTTTACAGAACACTCATTAGGTCCGTCCACAATCATAAAATAAGTCTCTATTCAAATTAACTAATTTGGCAAACAGAGCGACCGCCTTTAAAAAGCAACGAATCCCTTTGAAAATAGCCTATTTGGCATGGATATGAGTCAGAAACAGTTATTCTAGTGTCAAAATTGACTACAAAGTGTAAATAGTCATAAAATAAATGGTCATAGTCAGTCTTGTCTAAAACAGAGTTTGGAACATCCGTGCGTCACAATGGGTAAATGAAGGTTGGGTGCTGATTTGACAATGTCCATTTGCCCACTAACATGGGGTGAACAGCTGTGGTGATTGCGCTCTATCCAATTGGATAGACAGTGAGACAGACCTGATCAGCAGCTCCGACTTCCTTTAAATAAGACGTCGCACATTTTTTAACTTGAGAAATATGGCACCAAACACCTTAGTTAAATGTAAAATTGCGCTATCAAAACATCCTCGGCAAAAACGTCAAAATGTATTACGGATTTCTTGAGCTATACAATGGCTTGCGAAAGTATTCACCGCCCTTGGCATTTTTCCTATTTTGTTGCCTTACAACCTGGAATTCAAATTGATTTTTTTGGGGGGGGTTGTATCATTTGATTTACACAACATGCCTACCACTTTGAAGATGCAAAATATTTTTTGGGGTGAAACAAGAAATATGACAAAGAAACAGAACTTGAGCGTGCATAACTATTCCCAGTCCCTGCCGATGAAAAACATCACCACAGCATGATGCTGCCACCACCATGCTTCAATGTGGGGATGGTGTTCTCGTGGTGATGAGGTGTTGGGTTTGTGCCAGACATAGCGTTGTCCTTGATGTCCAAAAAGCTCAATTTTAGTCTCATCTGACCAGAGTACCTTCTTCCTTATGTTTGGGGAGTCTCCCACATGGCATTTGGCAAACACCAAACATGTTTGCTTAGTTTTTTCTTTAAGCAATGGCTTTTTTCTGGCCACTCTTCCGTAAAGCCCAGCTCTGTGGAGTGTATGGCTTAAAGTGGTCCTATGGACAGATAATCCAATCTCCACTGTGGAGCTTTGCAGCTCCTTCAGGGTTATCTTTGGTCTCTTCGTTGCCTCTGATTAATGCCCTTCTTGCCTGGTCCATGAGTTTTGGTGGGCAGCCCTCTCTTGCCAGGTTTGTTGTGGTGCCATATTCTTTCCATTTTTTAATAATGGATTTAATGGTGCTCCGTGGGATGTTCAAAGTTTGGGATATTTTTTTATAACCCAACCCTGATCTGTACTTCTCCACAACTTTGTCCCTGACCTGTTTGAAGAGCTCCTTGGTCTTCATGGTGCCCCTTGCCTAGTGGTGTTGCAGACTCTGGGGACTTTCAGAACAGGTGTATATATATACTGAGATCATGTGACACTTAGATTGCACACAGGTGGACTTTATTTACCTAATTATATGACTTCTGAAGGTAATTGGTTGCACCGGATCTTATTTAGGGGCTTCATAGCAAAGGGGGTGAATACATATGCACGCACCACTTTTCCATTATTTATTTTTTAGAATTTATTTGAAAAAAGTTAATTTTTTCATTTCACTTCACCAATTTGGACTATTTTGTGCATTTCCATTACATAAAATCCAAATAAAAATCAATTTAAAATTACAGGTTGTAATGCAACAAAATAGGAAAAACGCCAAAGGGGATGAATACTTTTGCAAGGCACTGTAGATTCATTCTGGGGATTTTGAGGAAGTGAAATAGGCTTCCACGTCTACAGATTCTCATGGGGGACAAACATCATTAACCAAACGCGGAATCGATCAGGAAACACCAAGACTGAAATCTCATGTTTCTAATGAGCAACAGAAAAACACACGTGCCAATTGGCTTGTTCAGTGGCTCTTTACACTAAAGCCTGCATTCTTTCTAGTCTTCAAGAAACAAGACAACATTGGTGTCCAATGAAAAGTCAGTAAAGGGTCATGACTTGGTGTTAAAGATGATTTAATTGTCTTTACAAAAATTACACGCACAACATGGAGGACGACAGTGAGTTGCTAAAACAGCCATGCTGGAATTCATGACATTGATGAAAGATTTACTTTATAAGTCTAACTTTGTCTTTCAATTCTCTAAACTTGGGGTTGCCTTTAATCTTCTTGTTGAAGAGTGCTAGCAGCTCCTCTTCTGATTTGAAATTTCTCTCTCCGCTGAATGAGTAGTAAGCTGACAAAACCTGGAAGGAAAAACGGTGCCATTAATGAAAACAGCGACAATTACAATCATGACCATGTCATATCACTATTCTAGCCCTATGGGCATAATGTAAAACATGCTGTTCCAGTAGTATGTATGAACTATATTTGATCAAAGGTGAGAATAAAAAGGGAGATGCCAGAAAAGCTGACCTCTATCTGTGTGATGCACAATATTCATACATGTCTGATTCAGATGAACATACCTTCTTCCTGAGTTTTTTCACTGCAAGTCCTTCTTCAGGAGATTGTCTTAAGACTGCCTTTATCGTTCCCTTCCAATTGAACTTGCCTGAAAGTCAAACAAGAGCATTAGTTGATCATGACTAACTCGAATCAAATTGTATTGGTCACATGGTGTAGACTTTACAGTGAAATGCTTTCTTAGGAGCCCATTCCCAACAGTGCAGTTAAAAATACAAATATTTGCTAAATAAAAAAGGAAATAGGAACACAATAAAAACAATAACGAGGCTATATACAAGGAGTACCAGTACCGAGTCAATGTGCAGGGGTACGAGGTAGTTGAGGTACAGTATTTACATGTGTGTAGGGGTAAAAGTGACTAGGCAATCAGGATATATAATAAACAGAGTAGCAGCAGCGTGTGAAAGTGTGTATGTGTGAGTGTGGCGTCAATATGCGTGTTTTGTGTGTGTGAGTGTATGTAGTGTGTGTGTTGGAGTGTCAGTGTGAGTGTGTGGGTAGAGTCTAGTGAGTGTGCATAGAGCCAGTGCAAGGGAGTCCGTGCAAAACAATTAAGATGAATAAATAATAGAGGAGGTCAATGTAAATTGTCCGGGTAGCCATTTGATTAACTGTTTAGCAGTCTTATGGCTTGGGGGTAGAAGCTGTTCAGGTGCCTTTTGGTCACAGACTTGGCGCTCCGGTAGTAGAGAGCACAGTCTATGAGTTGGGTGGCTGGAGTCTTTGACTACATACAGGACAATTTGAAATTGAAGGTGCTTTTGTTGGATATCAAATAATCACTGTTTCTAACTATTTTTGAAAGCACATTTACGTAGGCCTACTATGTAGCAGAGGAACGTGTCAACACTGTCCCCTGGTGGCTTCATTCAGAAAATGTAAAACCAGAGGTAATGCACTAAGTCCAATGTATATCCCAATTCTCCACTCTTCTCCCGAAGTGTGCACCCTTCTCGGCATGGATTTAACGAAGTTGAAAACTCCCTCCAGCCAATGCTTCTCAATCCACGAAAGAGGCATGTGTGGTGTGCAAGCGCACACTTCGGGAAAAAAGTGTGGTGAATTGGGATGAAGTTTTTTCTTACTATGAAAAATGTGCAGGACAATGAACACATTCTCAGAAGAACTGGTACCTTTCGAACCTGCAACACCCTCTGCCTCCTCCTCAGCCGCCTCTGTGTTTCGGTCATCTGGAAGGTAGAATAAAAATAAACTGAATCAAAGAATGTAATGTGCCAAGTACATTTTACATTAGCAATAGTAGGAGAACAGTAGCAACCGGGAGAAGCACACTCACTCGAGAAAAGAACCCCCTGAAAATGTGTAATATATACCTTCGGAACAGTCTTTTTTACTTGTCTTCCGTTTCTTGGTGGTCACCTCGCCTCCAGCATCCTGGCCTTTTTGCTCCCCGTCTTCCTCAGAACTCCTCTTCCTTTTCTTGTCCTTTCGTTTGCCTGCACTGGCTTCCTCCTCGGTGCTACCGTTCTCCAGGGCTTTTTCTTTCTTCCCGCTCTTCTTTTGTCTTGCCTCTTTGCGCTCCCGCTTGTTCAATTTTTTCTTCTCTGGTGGTGGCTCCTCCGATGTGCCATTCTGATGGCTCCCATTAGACTCGATTTTGCTGTCAGCAACAGACTTCCCGGGTTCCTCTGTCTGTTTCGGGGCTTCGGGAGCTGGCTAAAATCAAAAGTTAATTTGAAACAATGTTACCCTGATTTGTAAAAATACACATTGATTCGGTTTTATAAATCATATACACCGAGTGTACAAAACATTAGGAACATCTTCCTAATATTGAGTTGCACCCCCTTTTGCCCTCAGAACAACCTCAATTCGTCGGGGCATTGACTCTGCAAGGTGTCGAAAGCGTTCCATAGGGATGCTGGCCCATGTTGACTCCAATGCTTCCCAAAGTTGTCTGGATGTCCTTTGGGTGGTGGACCATTCTTGATACACACAGGAAACTTGTGTAAAAAGACCAGCAGCGTTGCAGTTCTTGACAAACTGGTGCGCCTGGCACCTACTACCATATTCCCGTTCAAAGGCACTTAAATATTTTGTCTTGCCCATTCACCCTCTGAATGGCACACATACAGTCTGTCTCAAGGCTTAAAAATCCTTCTTTAACATGTCTCCTCTCCTTCATCTACACTGATTGAAGTGGATTTAACAAGTGACGTCAATAAGGAATCATAGCTTTCACCTGGTCAGTCTATGTCAGGGCTCTCCAACCCTGTTCCTGGAGAGGTACCGTCCTGTAGGTTTTTGCTCCAACCCTAATCTAGCACACCTGATTCTAATAATTAGCAGGTTGATAAGATTAATCAGGTTAGTAACACCTGGGGTTGGAGTGAAAACCTACAGGAGGGTAGCTCTCCAGGAACAGGGTTGGGAAACCCTGGTCTATGTCATGGAAAGAGCAGCTGTCCCTAATGTTTTGTTAACTCAGTGTACAGTACTAACTTGACATCTGTCCAGCGGTGTCAAGTGTCAAAATTGGGATAAAAGCGTTTGCTAAATGGACCTAATTATGTTAACACCCTACTCACGTTGCTGGTTGCTGCTGAAAAGATGTCCCACACCTGGTCATGCAGCGTGGGATTGTGGATCTTCAGACTGTTCTTCATCCAGTTCTGATGGAGTGAGCAGCATGTGACAGCATTATTACAATAGTGATTTAACATTTGTGCAACGCTTCAGCAAGCCAAGCATAAAATAGCAGTAAACTGACACTATGGACCAGCACAAAGTCAAGTACAACTGACAATAGAGAAAGAACCATCATATATCCTAAGCAACAATAGAAATAACCAACCTGGAACTTTGACTTCTTTCGTGGGACGTTATCATATGAACTGACTTGACTTAGAACATCTTTCAGCATGGCACTGATTCCTGGTTTGTTCATGGCTTCTTGGATTCTCTATGGAAAGATCTCATCCATTAATCATCTACACAAAGTGCTGATAAACAAAGAGGGAAATCAGATGATCTATTTCTCACTTGAATCCATTGTTGCTGTTTGACATCCCCTTTGTTGGACTTAGCCTCATAGCCTTTGCCTCCATACTTCTGATCCTCAGTGATGCATTTGATGTGGTTCTTGTAGTCATTTCCCCTGTTGGAGGAAGAAATAGAATAGCTAGGTACCGATCAGAATAATTTACCTGCTCAACATGTGATGTTGGCTTGAACCAGTATCTGTGTGTTAGAGACATCTCAAACACCCAAAAAGCACAGCTCCGCAAGCATTATGTCAAAATAAATGTGTTGATCACCAAATATGGAGTTTCGCTAAGCAGTTACGGTCGGTATCTATCCTGTTTCCTAATCACTTTATTCCTAGTTATACAGTGCCTTCAGAAAGTATTCATACCCCTTGACTTATTACACATTTTGTTGTGTTATAGCCTGAATTCAAAATGGAGTCAATTGATTATTTTCCTCACCCAACTACACACAAAACCCCATATTCACAAAGTGAAAACATGTTTGGTAATTTAATTAAATACAGAAATCTCATTTACATGTATTCACACCCCTGAGTTAATACATGTTAGAATCACCATTGGCAGCAATTACAGCTGTGTGTCTTTCTGGGTAAGTCTCAGAGCTTTGCACACCTAGATTGTACAACACTTGCCCATTATTATTTTTAAAATAACATTTTCAAGTCTTGCCATAGATTTTCAGCAGATTTAGGTCAAAACTTTTGGAACTCTGCCACTCAGGGACATTCACTGTCTTCTTGGTAAGTAACAGTAGGTTATTGTCCTACTGAAAGGTGAATTCATCTCCCAGTGTCTGGTGGAAAGGAGACAAACAGGTTTTCCTCTAGAATTTTGCCTGTGCTTAACACCATTCAGTTTATTTTTTATCCTGAAAAACTCCCCAGTCCTTAACGATTACAAGCAAACCCATAACATGATACTGCCACCCCTATGCTTGAAAATATGGAGAGTGGTACTCAGTCATGTCTTCTATTGGATTTGCTCTAAACATAAAACGTTGTATTCAAAAAGTAAATTGCTTTGCCACATTTTTGGGAGTATTACTTTAGTGCCTTGCTGCAGACAGGATGCCTGTTTTGGAATATTTTTTATTCTGTACAGGCTTCCTTCTTTTCACTCTGTCATTTAGGTTAGTATTGTGGAGTAACTACAATGTTATGATCCATCCTCAGTTTCCTCCCATCACAGCCATTAAACTTTGTAACTTTTAAAGTCACCATTGGCCTCATGGTGAAATCCCTGCGCGGTTTCCTTCCTCTCTGGCAACCGAGGTAGTAGGAAGGAAGCCCGTATCTTTGTAGCGACTGGGTATATTGATACACCATCCAAAGTGTAATTAATAACTTCACCATGCTCAAGGATATTCCATGTCTGCTTTTTTTTGTTTTTACCCACCTACCAATAGGTGCCCTTCTTTGCGAGGCATTGGAAAACCTGCCTGGTCTTTGTGGTTGAATCTGTGTTTGAAATTCACTGCTCGACTGACTTGCAGATAATTGTATACGTCTGGGGTACAGAGAGGAGGTAGTCATTCAAAAGTCATGTTAAACACTATTATTTCACACAGAGTGAGTCCATGGAACCTATCATGCGAGTTAAGCAAATGTGTACTGAACTTATTTAGGCTAAGTATTTTTTTGGGGGGATAAAATATTGATTTAGGCATTTACTACTAAAGCCCATAGAAACACATTGAATAAGACATTCAAAAATGGGGTTAAATATGTGTCAAATACATTTTTTTTTACACATATTTAACCCTCTTTTTTGGGTAGGCACAATACTTCCATTAGTTTTTTTAAACCAGTACCGGTTACCTTCAGACGAGTCCCTTGACACACCGTGTTTGTGAGAGTCTCCCCTTTCCATAGAGAGTGGTCATAATAGTTTGTAGGTCAAACCATTCGGACGCTTCAGACGTTTAAGTGAGAAGAACGATTTTCGGGATGTCTCATGGTCTGACAAACACCTCTCTAGCGCTGCCACCTTTCACTCCAGATGCGGAAATGCGACACTGGTGGACAAATTGGATTGAGACACATTTACTTGGATGGCTCACAACTTCCTCCAGCTAAATCAAGACAAGTCTGAGGTACTTATTGTTGGAACCAAAGCAGAGGGAGAGAGAGACAATCTGGCCGCACATTTCAATTCACAGGAAATAAAGATAAAACACCTGGTAAAAAACCTAGGTGTTATTTTAGATTCTGAATTAAATTTCGAATCACACACTAGGAATGTGACCAAAATAGCTTTTTACCATCGGAGGAACACTGCCACGGTGCGGCCGTTTCTCTCTCAGGCCAATACAGAGACTTATCTATGCTTTTATTACAAGCAGGCTTGACTACTGTAACGCTCTCCTGTCTGGTCTACCCAAGAATGCCATTGGTCAACTGCAAAACACACAGAATGCTGCAGCATGGGTACTGACCAAGACCAGACGGAGAGCACACATTACACCAGTTTTAAGGTCTCTTCAAACTCACAAGCAGCCAGTGAATTAATTTTAAGATTATTCTATTGGTTTTTAAATCAATCCACTATTGTGCAACCCAATACATGTCAGACATGCTTTTAAGTTATATACCCAGTAGGTCCCTCAGGTCCTCTGGCACTGGTCTTTTAACTATCCCAAAGCCTAGGACCAAGAGGCATGGCAAGGCATCATTTAATTATTATGCCCCCAGCCTCTCAAATAGCCTGCCAGAGAACCTGAGGGGGGCCAAAACTTTGCTTTTCCTTAGACTGCTTTTTAGGTTCAGTTGTTTTTTTTAAATCTTAAGTTTGTTGTGTAGTAAACATTTCAGCTCTTATTTTCATTGTTTTTTATTAGTTTTCTCCTGTGAAGCACATTGTGTTGCATTCCATGTCTGAAATGTTGTATAAATAAAGCTTGATTTGATACCCCGTGTATATAGCCAAGTGATCGTTACTCATTGTCTATTTATTATTACGTGTTACTACTTTTCTATTATTTCTATTTTCTTTCTCTGCATATTTTGGAAGGGCCCGTAAGTAAGCGTTTCACCGTTACTCTACACCTGTGTTTTACGAAGCATGTGATGAATACAATTTGATGTTTTATGTACTTCCAAATAAGGTCTAAATAAAAATGTACAAGCAACCGACAAATTGCCTCTTCGGCAGCCCCAAAGTATTGAGCTGTTGTATACCTCCGACCTGTACGTGGCAGTAATGAGGTGCAAAATACGCATTTCTTTTCGGTAGCTTGTACATTTTTATTTAGACCTTTTTTGAAAGTACATACCAGCCGTAACCGGAGTATATGTAGATAGTTACTCACCGAAACTCCATATGTACCGGTACCCCCTGTATATAGCCTCCCTGCTGTTATTTTACTGCTGCTCTTTAATTATTTGTTATTTTTTACTCATCCATTTTTTATTTAACACTTATTTTTCTTTAAACTGAATTGTTGGTTAAGGGCTTGTAAGTAAGCATTTCACTGTAAGGTCTACAACTGTTGTATTCGGCGCATGTGGTAAATACAATTTGATTTGGATTTGGTGATCAACCAAACTGCGATGTACCCAACATAGCAAGAAGAGAAAAAACATTCACAAGTACTTACCAAAAGTCTTTTCCACAGTCAATGCATGACAAAATTTCACATCCACGGCACATGTTCACATGTTTATCTACTTGGGCTTTCTTTAGTGATTCACCACACGCATTGCACGTGAAGAAGACCATGTTGGACTATCTGTTAGATGACTAAGTTACGTACTAGCTAACGTTAGCGGATACTACCGTTCTTTTGTAGCTCAATTAATATTACCGACTAACGGAAGTCAATGAACTCAGCAAAACAAATTCCTTTTGGATAACGTTGGCTTGCTTGCTTTATACTATGGCAAATTACGTTTTAATCGATACAGAGACACGAGCCAACGCTTCCTGAACTAACTTACCCGGCGGTAGCTAGCTTCCTCTAGTCAGGCGAGGAACAAGATTGCTACTTACTAAATTACAACGGTATTTCAAACTAAAATTGCGTCATATGAATTATACGAGGCTACTACATAGGTCATTAGCTGTAGTAGCGATACAAAGACGTTGGAAAATATCCACATGTAGGTTCGTCAGTGCAAACGTTTCAAAACACGCGACTTCTTTCAAGACAGGAAGTGTTACATTATTTACATTCCGAAAAGGCGGCAGATGGTTTTGAGGAGTTCCACTTCATGACATGAATCTTAAACATTTTCTAATGGCCCTGGTCTCTAAAAATGCAACTTTAGTTGAAACTAGTTTTTGTGGTCGTTCAAACGTAAACGTATATTGTATGTGTTCGTATTCCTCATTCTTCTTCGATGAGATTTAACGGCCACCTACTAGACTGGAGTACAACTCCCATATACTTCGCTTGAAAAAATGTGGTATTCCTCGTTCTGGTCTTCTTCTTTGGGATTGGGTTGGCAGATCGCATCCAACTTTTAAGGTGTATACACTGCCACCTACTGTACTGTGAGGCCAGTCACAGCCTACCTACATTAAGTTAGTCCTGTTCCTCTAGGAAAAAATTGCCCCACCAACTAACCCTACACCTACATACCACTATTTCATAAAAACAAAATCAACACCCCATTGACCCTAATTAATCCTACACCAGGCCAACTGCCTTGTAACTCTACTGCAGTAAAACCTCATACACCCAAGTACTTCTCTGCAGCTGCCACCACAACATCTATTTTCTGTGATTTACATTCCATTTCTGCAGTACAGTTGACAACCATGGCAATGAATGCTAAGAAGCCAACCTTACTGAAGCACACATTTGTATCACTCTGTATTGGCCTAGGCCTACTACTCACCCTTGACCAATCATCCTCTACTCTCTTCACTGCCTCAGCATACGACACCTTCTGTTCAACTCTGACAATCTCAAACCACCTCTCTCGCACCAGACACTTCTGATCCCCAGCAACAGGGGCACCCCCACAATTGACACTACACCTACAGTGTGAAATGGTTATTTACTCACCATTTCCTTGCTGATTTTCCTTGGGCTGGTCATTGCTGTCTCATCTGAACTCATCTTTGTGTATGCCAATTGTCAAATCTGACAAGTAAACAGAGCAATATTAAAGATTTTGTTAGCATAAATAAGTACAGTACAATGACTTGCACATTTAATTAACACCTGAATTTGATTAATACTTTCTCCATTATCTACATTGAATATCTTCTCAGATTATGCTTTTACTTATCCAGTTATGTTACGTTAGTGCATATTACATTGACACATTTAGTGGTCCACATTTAGAAGTCTACACTCTATCCAGATGAAGAGAATGACAAGGAGGTGTAGCCAGTTAGACTATTAGGATGTTCCCCTATTTTGAAAGTTTGTCACTCACCGTTTACTGACTCGGTTGGAGTTGCATAAGCGCAGCATGCATTTGTTGCTGGAAGCTGTTAGAAAGACACCCACACCACAGCAGCCTTGTATTTGCATGAAAGAAAAACAGAGTCAATTAAAATCATGAATTTAGTACCTTGGTGATTCAAGCCCTTTCCCCTTAATATTTTAGCAAAGGCCTATCTCCACACATCTTGGAGTAGGTTAGCTACAGAATGTTTGTCATTGATTGAGACAGGTGTCTGCAGTTTGGGGTGGACCCACCTGTCTCAATTAATGAGAGTAGACTTGAAATAGAAAAGATGGCGTCGTACATATTGTTGGATTACTTCACGGAGCAAAACAATTATTTAAATAGTGGAGCATTTTCTAAATTCTAACGGACTAGTCCCTGCAACTGGGCACAAATATTTTATGAGACTCCTGTTTCCATAAATCGAGGACTGAGACAGTATTACTAAGGTTGGTCAAATTCTCTATGCTCAAAACAGTACATAACCTCTAACTACCAGTATAATGGATACCAAAAATGTTTGGTTAAATCATTATCTGGTGTTACATTCTGTAACTAGGAGTAGTTGAAAGACTGAGCAAACTTTGTTCTCCTTAGAAGAGACATGGCTTCTCTGCCTTACAGTGCTCTGTACTTGCCAGACTTCTTTCAGATCAATTATTTCAAAGTGGGTGTGGGGCCACAAGGGTAGTGTCACTGACTAGAGTAGATGATGTTTCCACCCTGCAGACTTTTTGCCATTCTAGGCCCAATCTCAAATAGACATCTAGACCCTATGTACTTGTGGAAACCTGTGAGGTTTTGATTGGTATAAGCAATATGGCAAAGCTTCAACCTAGCCTATCAGAGGAGGTCCTCTGTAGCTCAGCTGGTAGAGCACGGCGCTTGTAACGCCAAGGTAGTGGGTTCGATCCCCGGGACCACCCATACACAAATGTATGCACGCATGACTGTAAGTCGCTTTGGATAAAAGCGTCTGCTAAATGGCATATTATAATATTATTATTATTTATTACAACAAGGTGGAGCTATTACCATATTGATCCTTTCATAGCTCCACAAGTACATATGGTCTGTGGGTCCATTTGAGATTGGGCCTTAGTGTGAAACCAGTCTCCAATTGTGGACCCAGCTGCTCTCTATACTCCTACCTGGAAAAATGTTGTGGTAGATTTGGTAAACCCTTCTACATAATATTACAGTTACACTTGTGGTAGCCTAGCGGTTAGAGCGTTGGGCCAGTAACCAAAAGGTTGCTAGTTCTAATCCTCGAGTTGACAAAGTGAAAAATCTGTCGATGTGCCCTTAAGCATACCGGAGTACCCTATTCTGCAATAACTGTATGTGCTAGTATTATTTATGTAATTGATAAATGTGGATGGGTATGCTACTTGATTACGGTATTGTACAAGGTAGCCTATAGGCTACAATAATAACGTCATTGAATGTGTTATAGTATAACTTATTTCATTGATGAATTAAATAGTACATTCATTGAATACTGAATGTCTTGCCATCTCTGGGAGCATGTTAATGAAGGATTTTCAGCTGTTGAACTATGGCAATGTCGAACTAATTTCTAAATCTGTCTTTTAGTCAAGAAAAGATGATTAGCCAGAGCAACCAATCAGCTTCACTGCAGCTGTTCAACCCACTACACCCACCGCTCTCCCTCCTCAAGCAACCACATCGTCTTCTCCAGTTAAACTAATTTGCTGCCACACAGAAAAGGACTGTACATACCCCTGTGCCAGTGGTGGTCGGTGCTGTTTAAGATGAGGGAGGATTATTATTTTGTTTATGAGAATGGCCATATTTCTATTACAGCATATTGGATGACTGTCATTCATATTCCATTCACCCAGCTCAATGTAAAATCGATAGGTTTAGGCTACTACATGATACTCGAATTTCCCCTGTACCCGTTGCTACAACCTACGAATGAAAGTTTACAACGTAAATCATTTTGATTAATCAAGGTGACAGTGACACATTCAATATCACATTGCACACTCTTGCCTGCATCTACCTGATCTAGGGAGTAATCATTATCCCTGTTTTGTTCCTCTTGCTTCCGTTTAAGAAACGTTTTAACAGAATAGGCGGAATGAATACACCCCTGATCACACGCAAACACAGTTCACTTTCATAGCAGCCACATAAAAACAACGTGGTCAACACATCAGCTGTCTGACCTGGCGAAAAAACCTTTCCAAACCTTCATATCATGACTGCTATAACCGCTACACACAGCCTACATCGTTGTCACGTCATAGTCAACATAGCTAGCTACTAGAACTAAAGCGTTAGTGGACAACATGTCAGTTCATGCTGCAAGAGCTCTGATATGTTGGAGGATGTCCTCCGGAAGTTGTCGTAATTATTGTGTAATCAATGGAAGGGGGTGAGAACCATGAGCCTCCTAGGTTTTGTATTAAAGTCAATGTATCCATAGGAGGACGGAAACTAGCTGTCCTCCGGCTACACAATGGCGCTAACCTACAGAGTGCTGCTGAGGCTTCTGTAGACCTTCATTGCAAAACCGTGTGTTTTAATCTATTATTTGGTGACATGTTAATATATTTAGTATAGTTGTATGTAAAAAGGATAACTTTTTAAATGTTTCACGAAATTCACTGAGGAGGATGGTCCTCCTCTGAGGAGCCTCCACTGCCTTGTGCCCATCTCAGTGCAACATGATCAATCCAAGACCTCAGCTGGATGCCTACAATGTGAGAAATGTAAACAAGATGCTACAGGTGTGTGTGATGTGTACCTCTGTGTCAATGTTGAAATGCCATAAATGGAAGATTGCAAAGGAGATAGTGATGTGAGTGAGAGCGTTTGAATGATTTTGTTTGATTTTGTTTTGTACTGTTGAAAAACAGATGTGGGCAGTAGTACCCAAAATATGTATTTGTTTGTTTTATTTTTTTGCCCCCAAACACTGGTACAGTTATTTTCAAGACCTGGGGAACCACAATCTGGTGTTTTAATATACATAAAAAAATGATTTGCAGTACTTTTCAAATAAAAACTAAATAATTTCTACTTGTGTCATAAAACACTTGATTCTCATAAACAGGAAGAGTTCTCTAGAAGCCAAAATGTCAAGGTAGTCAAACCCCCCCCAAAAATGCTTTACACTTTAAAATCACCTAGAGCTATATTATTCATCTTCAAGCTTCTCAACTGAGGGAGGGTGATATGGCTTTTTCTTTGCAACTCTGCCTAGAAGGTCAGCAAAATCATCAACTTGGATTAGCAAACACAACGTGCCATTGGAACACAGGACTGATGGTTGCTGATAATGGGCCTCTGTACGCCTATGTAAATATTTCATAAAAAATCTGCCGTTTCCAGCTACAATAGCCATTTACAACATGAACAATGTCTACACTGTATTTCTGATCAATTTGATGTTATTTTAATGGTCATAAAAAAATCTTTAGAAAACAAGGACATTTCTAAGTGACCCCAAACTTTTGAACGGTAGTGTATATTTTATAGTTGAGATTCTTCAAATAGCCACCCTTTTGCCTTGACAGCTTTGCACACTCTTGGCATTCTCTCAACCAGCTTCATGAGGTAGTCACCTGGAATGCATTTCAATGAACAGGTGTGCCTTCTTAAAAGTTAATTTGTGGAATTTCCTTCCTTCTTAATGCGTTTGAGCCAATCAGTTGTGTTGTGACAAGGTAGGGGTGGTATACAGAAGATAGCCCTATTTGGTAAAAGACCAAGTCCATATTATGGCAAGAACAGCTCAAATAAGTAAAGAGAAGCGACAGACTATCATTACTTTAAGACATGAAGGTCAGTCAATACAGAACATTTCAAGAACTTTGAACGTTTCTTCAAGTGCAGTCGCAAAAACCATCAAGCGCTATGATGAAACTGGCTCTAATGAGGACCGCCAAAGGAATGGAAGACCCAGAGTTACCTCTGCTGCAGAGGATAAGTTCATTAGAGTTACCAGCCTCAGAAATTGCAGCCCAAATAAATGCTTCACAGAGTTCAAGTCACAGACACAACTCAATATCAACTGTTCAGAGGGGACTGTGTGAATCAGTCCTTCATGGTCGAATTACTGCAAAGAAACCACTACTAAAGGACACCAATAAGAAGAAGAGACCTGCTTGGGCCAAGAAACACGAGCAATGGACATTAGACCGGTGGAAATGTGTCCTTTGGTCTGGAGTCCAAATTTGAGATTTTTGGTTCCAACCGCTGTGTCTTCGTGAGACGCGGTGTGAGTGAACGGATGATCTCCGCATGTGTAGTTCCCACCGTAAAACATGGAGGAGGAGGTGTTATGGTGTAGGGGTGCTTTGCTGGTGACACTGTCTGATTTATTTAGAATTCAAGGCACACTTGACCAGCATGGCTACCACAGCATTCTGCAGCGGTACGCCATCCCATCTGGTTTTGGCTTAGTGGGACTATCATTTGTTTTTCAACATGACAATGACCCAACACACCTCCAGGCTGTGTAAGGGCTATTTTACCAAGAAGGAGAGTGATGGAGTGCTGCATCAGATGACCTGGCCTCCACAATCCCCCAACCTCAACCTAATTGAGATGGTTTGGGATGAGTCGGACGGCAGAGTGAAGGAAACGCGGCCAACGAGCTCAGCAAAAGAACGCACACCGGCGAGAGACCCTACCTCTAACACCTGCGGCAAGAGCTTCACCCACTCAGCTGTCCTGAGGAGACACTGTAGCATGCATTGCAAGGCCACGCCCGACGACGCCGGCCCTGACATAGAGGACCCAGAGCAGCCTGGCAGTAGCAGCACTGAAGTGGAGGAGGAGGTCCATTCCACATGCCTGTCAGCCACAATATAGACCCTGTGCCTAGGCAGCCACCACCACCCTTCACTACCGTGATGGGGCTCGACATGCCGAAGCACCGTTGACTAGCATCCACCTCAGCCCGTCTATCTCAACGTCCTTCCCCGAGCTGCGCTCCATTGTGCCCCAACACCTCCTCTCCTCCTCCCAGCAGCAGAAGAAGTCCCCTCTTCTAGCAGACTCCCTGAAACTGGGCAAAGCTCACCTACCCCCAGGAGGCCAGACAGTTACTGTGAGGCCCTCCTTGGGGCCAGCCTCACCAGTGGTGCCCCCTACAGGGCAAGTGAGGGACCCTTCTTTTCCAGTGTAACACTATAGTGTCTGGCCATGAAAACACTGCAGAATGACATGGAGCAGTGAAAGTAGGAGCAAGTAGGAGTGTGTTTAACGTGGCTTCCTTTCTTCGTTTCCTCTCCTTCATCTGCACTGATTTTGAAGACACTGTTGTAGGGAAAGCCGCATGAGGATACCTATTGGTGATCATCTTTCATCTGTTCAGTTCTTTCACATCATTGTAGATGAAGGGAAGGGGATGAGAAAAGGAGGCCACTAGTCTATTCAGTACTGGACATAGAATTCCCTTATGAAGGAAGACTGCTCAGCACTATGATATTATCTAACTTGAATCTATTCAGTACTGGACATATAATTCCCTTATGAAGGAAGACTGCTCAGCACTATGATATTATCACTCATGTATTTTCTTTATAGGATGTATTGTTTAAGAACAACTTGTTATAAAGATGGAAAAAAAGCTAAGTTATGTTTGTATATTCTTTATGGATAATGTAATAAAATAAAAAGTGCCAAATTATATTGCTTTTTTGGTTGTTTTAAAATATGTAGTAGGATATTGAATTTTCATGCAGTAAGGCTACAATTGTGTACTTTGTAAGCCTTCTCTACCCATAACTTATGAGGTAATGCAGGAAATCTTTCCAACCACCCACATAGAGAAAATATATTTATAGTTCATTAGGGCTTCAATAAATGTCCCCTTTAGTTGCTCCAAGCGAGTGGCTACGTTATCTCTTCAGAAACAGGGATTTAGTCTTCAGTCTGAGTTCTCTGACCTCCCCATGACACTACTATCTCCAGCAAGATAATATTAGGCATGAACATGAAGTCATGAGAATAATCACAACTAAGGTCTATGGATTGAGAATAGGTGCGGAGCAGAGAAGATCTCAAAAAGCTTGAGATCAGTATTGCAATGGTGTTTTATTTATTGACTATAAGTTCACAATTTCAGATGAATGGGAACAATAGCAAAAGCATGGCAAAATGTCTATCAGCAGGCCTTCCCGCCCACAGTGCTACAACAGGTGCACCAAATCTACAGTGCCTTCAGAAATGTACATAAGTATTCACACCCCTGAGTCAATACTTTGTAGAAGCATCTTTGGCAGTGATTACAGCTGTGAGTCTTTCTGGGTAAGTCTCTAACAGCTTTCCACACCTGAATTGTGCAACATTTGCCCATTTTCTTTTTTTATTATTTTCAAAATTCTTCAAGCTCTGTCAAATTGGTTGTTGATCATTGCTAGACAAACATTTTCAGGTCTTGCCATAGAATTTCAAGTAAATTTAAGTCAAAACTGTAACTGCTATCTGTGCCACTAGAGATCCTGGTTCGAATCCAGGCTCTGTCGTAGCCGGCCGCGACCGGGAGACCCATGGGGCGGCGCACAATTGGCCCAGCGTCGTCCAGGGTAGGGGAGGGAATGGCCGGCAGGGGATGTAGCTCAGTTGGTAGAGCATGGCGTTTGCAACGCCAGGGTTGTGGGTTCGATAAAATAATGTATGTGCTAACTGTAAGTCGCTCTGGATAAGAGCGTCTGCTAAATGACTAAAATGTAATGTAAAATGTAACTCGGCCACTCTAGAACATTCACTGTCGTCTTGGTAAGCAACTCCAGTGTACTGTAGATTTGGCCTTGTTTTTTAGGTTAATGTCCTGCTGAATGGTGAATTGATCTCCCAGTGTCTGGTGAAAAGCAGACTTAACCAGGTTTTCCTCTAGGATTTTGCTTGTGCTTAGCTCCATTCCATTTCTTTTTTATCCTGAAAAACTCCCCAGCCCTTAACAATTACAAGCATACCCATAACGTGATGCATCCACCACTATGCTTGAAAATATGGAGGTGGTACTCAGTAATGTGTTGTATTGGATTTTCTCAAACATAACACTTTGTATTCAGGACAAAATGTTAATTGCTTTGCCAATTGTTTTGCAGTATTACTTTAGTACCTTGTTGCAAGCAGGATGCATGTTTTGGAATATTTTTTATAGGCTTCCTTCTTTTCACTCTGTCAATTAGGTTAGTATTGTGGAGTAACTACAATGTTGTTGATCCATTCTCAGTTTTCTCCTATCACAGCCATTCAACTCTGTAACTGTTTTAAAGTCACCATTGGCCTCATGGTGAAATACCTGAGCGGGTTCCTTTCTCTCAGGCAACTGTTAGGAAGGACACCTGTATCTTTGTAGTGACTGGGTGTATTGATATACAATCCAAAGTGTAATTAATAATTTCACCATGCTCAAACGGATATTCATTGTCAGCTTTAAAAAAATTTTTTTATCTACCATTAGATGACCTTCTTTGCGTGGCATTGGATTTTTTTTTTTATTCATTTGTAAAAATGTTCAGCTCATTATCAATGTTTCTTTCTTTTGATTAGATTTAAAATAGGCTTTCAAAGTCTAGATGTAAAACCATTCTCTCCCTAGACCTGCTCCCATGTGTTGTCTCGTGTGTAGCCTATGCATGGGATGCAGGCTAATGTTGTTACATCACTTGGGCTGCCGGCAGCAGCATCCGCTCCGAGGGACCGCCTTTGAGGAGCATCAACGAGAGCTTGGCCATATTGTGCATCCACCTCATCGTAAATCGGCTGAGTCACACCTATACCGGCGGTCTCAGTTTTAACAATAAAATAGGACAACAAAATCAACAAGGATTAAAATAAAAAAAAACGTTAGCAGGTAAGGGTTGATGTATTAGTCAATGGCATATACAGGTTTATCGTTATTATCATAAATAGTGCTAATTGCAAGTAACATCCAAAGGATACTACAAATGATGTTTTATTTGCGAGCGCTCCTTCTGGTATTCTATAATGAAATTAACATAGATATGCAACGTGGATTGTTTTGTTATCAATTGCAGTGTGTTTGCTATCCAGGTGTGTTTTTGTTTCATCTCAGGAATGATTGTCTACGTTAAGATAAAACGAAAATAATCATATGCCATTCATAATTTAGACGACGCATGTATTCGTCAGACAATCACTATTAAACGCCCTGTCCTTCTCCGAACAGGTTTTTACACCGTATCGTCTCGGAAAATGGTTAAATTGGGGAATAATTTCAGTGACAAAAACAACGCCAAAGCCGTCTCAGAAGATGGATTCGACACCATTCCCCTCATAACACCCTTGGATGCCAGTCAACTGCAGTTCCCTGTACTCGACAAGGTAATATTTATTCAAGTGAATTGAAAGCCTATTGACGCAATATACTCTACCCATCGTCAATGTTTTAATGGAGTCCGTTTTCTTCATAGTCTGAAATAATATGAATGTGACCAAATAAGGATCCAATAGAAATAAACGTGTCATTGTAATCACTATTTTGTCAATAGCCTCAAATAAACATCTATCAGTCTATTCTCCATTACACACATTAAGGAAATAGCCTACAATTGATTCCATGTTACACCTTCATGCAGGCCTATGATCAACATTATTTATTTACATCTTGGCATTTGTCTTTGTGTTTCAGGTGGTGGTAAAGACCAAAACAGACTATGATGGGGAGCACAAGAAGAGCAAGCTGCACTCCCCCAAGATAGCAGAATTCTCAATAAGCATCATCGAAGGGGTATCTGAACGACTTAAAGTAAGACATGTTTTCTTCTTCTTCTTCACTCAAGCCCTCAACCCTTGATTAATTCAACTGCCATGGCAATGGCCTTGTAATGGTTATGTCTCACTCAGTTTACATAGAGGTCTTTGAGAAGCAAATTGTTAGGCTACAGACCACCTTAAAAAGCCATACCTGCTCACTATCTAAGAGTGGTCCATCAAAAACATTGGTGCGAATGCATTCCATGACATCCCATAGCACAATTGATTTCTATCTCTGTAGTGCTCATGTGCTCTTTGTGGTATTTTCCAGCTCACTATGCTGATATCTTTGAATCTGAAGTCTTAAGGCATAATGTGTTATCAGATAGGGCAAGACATTTACTTTTCTGTAGGTAATATGCACACTGTAGTTGAAAGGGACTACGTGGGTTCTTTCTTCTCTGGCACCATGCTGGTTTTGCATAGCAGCCCTTGATATCAATTCTTTAATGATTTCCGCAAGATGTTTCTAACTCTAGTAGAGAAATATGACATCATCTACATCCTGGAAAATCAGAAGGAACTCTTATTAAACCTCAGTGTCAATAAAAATTGATGATATCATACACTATGTTTGGGCCTGTGACCAAGACAAGATCAGGTCCCCTATTTATAAAGTGTCCCAGAGTAGGATTGCTGATCTAGGACCAGTTTAGCCTTTTTTTTATTATAATGGTCCTAGTACAGCACTCCTTCTCTGAGACGCTTTATAAATACGGGCCCTGGCCTCATCATTGAGGCTGGCATATTTTACAAAGTGATTTTCCCGACACCTCTCTCCCACTCCCCGCCAACTCCTTCCTCGAAGTGCCTGTAGCCATTGCATAACACCCTGGAGATGTCAGTGCAATGTACTTGTACTATTTTAAAGACATCCTGGATCAGCATGCCTCCTCCTCCTACTGAGACACTATATAAATATGGGCCATGAAATAATTGGATTGGTGGAGGTGATATGGTAATAACTCCACCTATCCCTGTGGTTGGCAAATGGAGATTCTGGCATATTTCTTACACCCATCTAGTTCAGTAATCTACCACAGAGTAGTATCTAGGGGCTAGCCGTCTAGGGATTGATTTGGGTTTGGGCATAGTGTGACCCATCAGTAACCCAGAGGCGATGTTTGTGTCTCTCATCTTCCCAGGTCACTCTGCTGGTGATTTGTGCTTTGGCATTTCTGGTCTGCGTGGTGTTTCTGGTGGTCTATAAAGTCTACCAATATGAGCAGCCCTGTCCAGATGGCTTCATGTATATGGTAAGCAACTACAGTAAGCATCCCACTGGGCACACACTGGTTGAATCAACGTTGTTTCAACGTAATTTGTCAACGTATTGTGACGTGGAATCAACGTGGAAAATGAATTGGATTTGAAAAAAGTAATCAACCTGGTCCCGGTTTCCCGATAGCGATGGAATTTAGGCTTAAGAGTGTTTTAACTATGCATCATAAAAATAACAGCCGAAGATGTCACACCCGTTTCCCAAAACACCACGCAGTGCACTCGTTACAAAGTGAAACTTAACTGCGTCGTTACAGGAGCTGTCCCGTGCTGAAAATGATTCCACAATAAAGGCTAAAGAGCTCACTGTAGCTCTTAAATTATTAATGATTATTCAAAGTCTTCTTTTTTTTTTGTCTCTTTTTTTACACAATTTTCCTATCAAGAGAATAAATGTTCTGTAGCCTATTATGTATTTAAGTGTTTGTATTATGTTTGCCAAGTTTATGTATTCTAAGTGTTTACTCGTACCATTTTGTATGCAATGTTTGATGTAAATTCTGAATTTTTCAGTTTGTTTAAATTGTGAGCAAGAATTAATAAAGCTAATGTCGCTCGTTCCCTCTTTCGCTAGACAATATCGACGTGACCTAAAAATAGGATATGATGACAATGTTTTTTGTAATTGCTCAACAAATCATTGTAGCCTAATGGTAGGCAGGAATTGGGCTTCAAGTTGGCCTACAGATATTCTACAATTAAATCACTAAACAATTTAAAATAATTAAACATGAAGTAGCAAGTTAAGCGATGTTGCAATAGACCTAACCTTTAGGTTATTGGTTAGACTACAGTGAAATGCATGAGCTTTTAGATAATAGCAACCTATAGGCCTAATAGTTATGAATATGGAAGACTCAGGTGTAGCCTAATGGCTTATTACTAGGTAGGTCTATCAATTGCACATGAAAGTGCTCTCAATATTTAACCTAATTATATAATAGCTAGATTATTATGCTATTTCAGTTTTCATAAAAACATTTTAATGTATCCTTGCTTTGCTATTCAACTATGACGTTTTCGGCGGTCACAGAGAGACATCTTCATTCTATGTTTAGCTGAGATTTTCTGTCTATAAAGTGGGTAAACGGTGATCTAATGATCAGAGGCGTCAGAGGCAGGCGTTAGATTACGAGCAATTTCAAGTGCAACGTTAATAAAGACGGTTTTGGGAAACAGCTCAGAAATTTTAAGATGCTCTTATGAAGGTTCTAATGATGAACTTAGCCTTAAGATGCTTTTGGGAAACCGGGCCCAGTAATGTTTTAATCTCATTTCAACCAGCATTGTAAACATTGAAATTAGGGTAAAACTTCAACGTAAATACATTGACTTAACCTGATTAACAGGTTGTTACATCAATCTAATTTCAACATATACATAGTTCTGATGATTATGTTGAAATTGCATTGAAAATTCCATGTAGAAACATTTATTTTTTAAATCCTACATCAATTGGGTGGTTGAAATTATGTAGAATTTCATATTTGATTAGACATGTTGTTTGACCTTGTTTCAATGTTGATAGTAAAATGGTATATTTGAATCAACGTCATTGTTTCAACATCATTCCATCAACCGAAATAAAGAGATATATTGAAATAAAATGTGAAGCCACAGTCCAACGATTCCTGACTGAACAGGGACTCCTACTGGAATATGAGGGGTAATGCACTTCAGTGAGAAGAAGTCTACCATCCAGATGCCTACCTCTATGTGTCCTGCTTAGCTTTGGAAACAAGCTGTGTTTGAGTCAGCTGAGCTATATTGTCAACACATTTAGACATTGATCAGCTTCCATACTAATTTTCGTAGACTACCTAAATAACGTTGAATAGTTTAAGGTAGAGGCCGACCGATATGGGATTTCTGGATCCGAATCCGATTTTAGAGTGGAAATATTCACCGATAACCGATATCTGCCAATATGTTTATTATAGGTAGATTGTGCTTAAAACAGCCCTACAAAGATACTCAAAGCTGATTTCTTAAATTTGAGGAAACAACATTAATGTAAGCACCACATAGAATTTAGGTGCACAAGAAAGCAGAGATTATTTAATGGAATAACTGTGCTACTCTAGTGAAAGGAGGATAAACTGCACTGATTCCAGCAAAAACATTTCCCCCCCTAGGCTCTGAAAACTGAGCTGCCTCATGCTAGCCAGCTGGAAAACAACGACATAGGACACATTTTCAATGTTTTGGTATTTAGCTATGTTTTCATCATTTGTAAGGCTGTAGCCACTGAATTCTGGTAGTTGTCACTTGAAAGGAAAAACATCAATCACAAAATGTGCCGCTGACAGCGTTGCCTCAGTGAACCGTCGTCCCTACTCCATTGAAGTTGACATTTCAAATTGTTAAAGTTTGGGTTAGGTTAGGGTTAAGGTTTGGGTTTAGCGTAGGGATGTCCCAAGGATCCCGAATAGCAGTAACCCTCCATGAACGGCGACAAGTACTCTCACACAGCTAGTTATCTGGCAAGTTAGTTAGCTAGCACTCGTCATGGAAATGGGGGTGGCGATTGGCGAAACGTGAATTTGAACCAGTGCCTATCAAGTGACAATGAATCCATACATCAAAACGTAGCTACGAAGCACTACTTTGTAACCTGCTATGTTTTTTTCGTGTCTCTGAAAACATTTGAATGACAGAGCTTGAGGAATACCATTTGCAAAGAGCAAATATAACACAATTTTTCACTGGCTTCACTAAAGGGCTGTAGCTTTGTTACCACAAAGTTGAATGTTCTTAGCAAGGCACTTGCTTTACATTTGGACAGCATCCATTGTTTGTCATGACACCCAACACCCTCCATGACACTTCACGTAACAGTATATGGCCAGCGCACTTTATTGAGCTGGCAAGCTTCTATTTACTCAGCACTCACCGTAGAAGCAGTAGCTCACTCTCCTCTCTGACTGGTGTAGGTGCGTTGGGTGGGAGTGTCCAGTCTTGCTGTAGCGCACCAAGTGCCCTCTTCAGGACACATAATGAAATGCAACAACAAAAATGTCCGATTCTATGAAAAACTGCTTTTTTTCAGAGCGTTTTCTCCACATCGTATATCGGTCCTTCTCGGTGGGTTAAACGCCGATACAAATACATCGGTAAAAGGTTAATATCGGCCGATAATATCTGTCAACTGATAAATCGGTCGGTCTCTAGTTGAAAGTAACTAACGTTTCTTGCACAAGCTGTATGTGAAAGTAAATTCGGAGTGAGGTTGGGTTGTAGTCTACATTGACATCTGATTTGCCCAAAGGACAATCATTCGTCCATGGTTGATTGGATCTTTGGAAGTTTAGAAGTAGTTACCATTAGCCCTATAAATAGGATACCAAATTCATGATATTAATAGAAAACTTTTACCTTTGGATATTTTCTTTTATATGTGTTATTCATTATATAAGTGGCCCGATTTAAGAAATCATAGGCCCTGGGGCTATTAAAAGACTATTGGCAGTTACCTGTATGTGCTTGTGATACAACTTAATCCACAGTTCTTTATTTTTTAGAAACGTTTAGAAACTAAATGATGCTCTCTGCTGTGTTTTGAACATTGAGAGCGGGCTCCTGTTGTTTTTTAAAATTATTATTCTCCTTGGGCCCCCTATGGTCTTGGGCCCACATACAGCTTGTGTAAGAAAAGTTTGTTACTTTCAACTATTCAATGTTATGTAGATAGTCTATGCAAATGAGTATGGAAGCTGATCAATGTCTAAACATGTTGAGATAATAGCTCAGCTGAAACATACACAGCTTGTTTCCCAAGCATTTAGGAAAATGTTTTCAGACCCCTTGACTTTTTCCATATTGTTGCGTTACAGCCTTATTCTAAAATTGATTAAATACCCCATAATAACAAAGCAAAAACAGGTTTTTAGAAATTTTTGCAAATGTGTATATATATATTTAAAAAAAACTCACATTTACATAAGTATTTAGACCCTTTACTCAGTACTTTTTTTGAAGAACCTTTGGCATCGATTACAGCCTCGAGCCTTCTCGGGTATGACGCTACAAGCTTGGCACACCTGTATTTGGGTAGTTTCTCCCATTCTTCTCTGCAGATCCTCTCAAACTCTGCCAGGTCAGATGGAGAGCGTTGCTGCACAGCTATTTTCAGGTCTCTCCAGAGATGTTAGATTGGGTTCATGTCCAGGCTCTGGCTGGGATGAAGGACATTGAGATTTGTCCAGAAGCCACTCCTGCATTGTCTTTGGAAGTCCTGAGTGCTCTGGAGCAGGTTTTCGTCAAGGATGTCTTTGTACTTTGCTCCGTTCATCTTTCCCTCGATCCTGACTAGTGTCCCAGTCCCTGCCGCTGAAAAATATCCCCACAGCATGATGCTGCCACCACCATGCTTCACCGTAGGTGCCAGGTTTCCTCCAGACGTGACGCTTGACATTCAGGCCAAAGAGTTCAATCTTGGTTTCATCAGACCAGAGAATCTTGTATCTTATGGTCTGAGAGTCCTTTAGGTGCCTTTTGGTAAACTCCCAAGTGGGCTGTCATGTGCCTTTTACTGAAAAGTGGCTTCCGTCTGGCCACTCTACCATAAAGACCTGATTGGTGTAGTGCTGCAGAGATGGTTGTCCTTCTGGAAGGTTCTCCCATCTCCACAGAGGAACTCTGGAGATCGGTCAGAGTGACCATCGGGTTCTTGGTCACCTCCCTGACCAAGGCCCTTCTCCCCCGATTGCTCAGTTTAGCCGGGCGGCCAGCTCTAGGAAGAGTCTTGGTGGTTCCAAACTTCTTCCATTTAAGAATGATGGAGGCCACTGTGTTCTTGGGGACCTTCAATGCTGCAGAAATGTTTTGATACCCTTCCCCAGATCTGTGCCTTTCCACAATCCTGTCTCTGAGCTCTACGGACAATTCCTTCGACCTCATGGCTTGGTTTTAGCTCTGACATGCACTGTCAACTGTGGGACCTTATATAGACAGGTGTGTGCCTTTCCAAATCATGTCCAATCAATTGAATTTACCACAGGTGGACTCCAATCAAGTTGTAGAAACATCAAGGATGATCAATGGAAACAGGATGCACCTGACTCAATTTCAAGTCTCATAGCAAAGAGTCTGAATACTTATGTAAATAAGGTATTATCATTTTTTTGCAAACATTTCTAAAAACCTGTTTTCACTCTGTCATTATGGGGTATTGTGTGTAGATTGAGGAAATATGGAAAAAGGGAAGGGGTCTGAATACTTTCCGAATGCACTTTATAGTATGCATCTGGATGGTAGACTTGTTCTCACTGAAATGCATTACCCCTCATACACCAGTAGTCACTGTTCAGGCAGGGATTGTTAGACTGTGGCTTCGCATTTTATGTCAATATACCTCTTTATTTAGGTTGCTGGCATAACGTTGAAACAATGACGCTGATTAAAACATACAATTTGACTATCAACATTGAACCATGGCAAATAAAATGTCTAATAAAATTAAACAATTTCAACTACCCAACGTTTCTATGTGTAATTTAATGCCATTTCAACGTGTATATATAGTTCTGAAGATTGTTGAAATTAGACTGACGTAACAACCTGTTAAGCCAATGTATTTAAGTTTTACTCTCATTTCAATGTTTACAACACTGGTTGAAATGAGAAACAGTACTGGTTGATTTTTATTTTATCCAATGTATTTTCCACGTTGATTCCACATCACAATGCATTGATAAATTATGTTGAAACAACGTTGATTCAACCAGTGTTTGCCCAGTGGGATGCCTCTTGTAGGTACCAATGGAGAAAAAAAATCCAGTATACAATTGCACTTGCAAGACAAAACTTGTCTCTATGGTGAATCAATTCTCCTTTCTCTCTCTTTATTAGTGGCACCTTGATGTTAGCTTCTTTTCAGTAATGACAACAAGACAGGTTTCCACAAGCATTTTTATAGTTCTTCCCCTTGTTCCTCTGCTAAAACTCTCGCTCTCTCGCAGCAGCAGCAAGGTCGGTGCATGCCGACGGGGATGTACGGCTACTACCCACCAGGTGGGCGCGGGCGTCTCTTCACCATCATCAACCACTACAACATGGCTAAGCAGACCATCACCCGGTCCGTGTCCCCGTGGATGACCGTCATGTCAGAGGAGAAGGTCACCCAGCAGGAGACCGAGACCCACCAGAAGCTGGCCTAATGCACTGGGCTGTATTCAGAGGTGAAACATTAAGAATGTTACAGATAAAAATGCAATGAATAGAGCTGACTTGATGCCCAATTCTACATGAGCGCTAATCATGTGTGTGCTACAAAATGTATTTATATCTCAGCGTTTTGTAACGTTGCACCCTTCTGTACTAGGATCACCATCTAGACATGTGAAGAAAGGATACGCGGTGCCATTCAAGCAAACCCAAATCTGGAAAAGCGTTCTTGAGCTAAAATGATTATTCCTGAGCTGCACCAGTTTTAATTGATATTGTAGAACTGCAATGTATCAGGCATTAAGTATTGTTTTAATCAGTTCAATTATTTTACAGATGCCTTTGTGTAAGCACAGACCGGAACAGCGGTCGGAGGGATATCGGTTTTGTTTGAATAGCTTCCGTGGTTAGTTCTTTAAATTATTTGAGTGGCGAACACACACACAAACATGTCTTGCCACACTCATTGACAAAACATCTTTGTACACAAACGTAAATGGGGAATAGAATCTCACTTTAGTACCCCAAATATAAACTGACTGTGAACCATATAGTCTGTGGAGCTGGTTTAACCACACATGCATGCATGACTTTATAAGGCTTATGTATTTTACACAGACTGTCTTTATTACAAAAAAAACATATGAAGTACCGTCAGAATGTACTGTTTAGCCCTTGAGATCCTGCTAAAATGACTGATAAAAAAATAACGTTTTTCTCCTCGATGGTTTTGCCTCTCCCATTTGTGGATGAATGGGCTATGACTCACTTGAAGATACATTTTTATAATCTAAAATCTTAATGAATACAATCCAAAAGTCATGTCCTATTGATGTTTTCGAAGTCAAATGACTCCAATGTGTAGAGAACTTTTAATTCTGGGTCTTGTTCAGTAAGCACGAAACGGGAACCCATTTTGAAACAGGGAGATACTACCTTTTCAAAACACTTTGCGACGCTGTGCCATACTGAACACGACCCTGGCATGACGCTCACTATATTTGTCTGTAGAGCTCGCCTTTATTGTGAACAACACTGTTTGATCAGGCACTACGTCAAGGTCTAGAGAAAGCATGCGAATGCTTATTGTCACTGCATAGCATATCCCATGTTGTTGATACTGAATGTTTTTGCATTGCTCTTGAAGGTAATGTGTCATGCCATTGAATGGGGTTCTGTAGTTGTCAGTCACCCTAGAAGGCAGTCAAGTCATACAGAAATACCAGATTGAGTGAACGCGTGCAGTGCAACTCTAAAAAAGACATCTGACAGGAGATTGCTTCATTACTTAAAAAAAACAATTTGTCATTAAAGGGGTGTAATTTAAGTTTGTTCAATGATACAATGACTTAAACAGAAGTACATTTTATGCTGTTTTTTGGGGACAATTGAGGAACATGGATTGGCTTTGAACTGTAAACCAAATATCTATTAAAATGCACACATTTCACATCAACCTTTGAGTAATCCATCACATTAAACAAGAGATGAAGTTCCTTTATGCTAATTTCCAAAGCCAATTCTTTGGATCGTGGTTCATGCCATAGGCCCAGATTTCTAGATCTGTATGTAATCTGGATACTATTGTTTTGCCATGAACTACTGCTAAATGATGTAAATGTAAACTAGACTAGGGAATGGCTGAAGTACAATCCATACAATATATCAACTAGTGAATGTGTGGATTTCTTGCTGTAATTTGGGGAAATAAGAAAAAATAGGAAAATGTCATTCACAAGCAGTGCTTCATTTTATTGGTGTTAGGACCAGGTTTTTACACAAGCAGTGTAAGTGCAAAGTGGAGTTATACCAACACAAATACTCCCATTGATTGATCATAACCACTATCTTTACACAAACAAAAGGCTTACATGCTCGGTGTAACTCATAATAACCATTCTTTAAAATATCGCAACTGCAAGAGCTAAGCCTTAACTCATGGTATATTAGTGATTATAAACCGGGTGATTCGAGCCCTGAATGCTGATTGGCTGAAAGCTGTGGTATACGTCCACTATGACAAAACATATTTTTACTGTTCTAATTATGTTGGTAACCAGTTTATAATAACAATAAGGCACCTTGGGGGTTTGTGGCATATGGCCAATATACCACTGCTAAGGGCTGTATCCAGGCACTTCTCGTTGCCTCATGCATAAGAACAGCCCTTAGCTGTGGTATATTGGCCATATACCACACCCCCTTGGGCCTTATTGCTTAATTATCTCATATCTTCTAAATGTGTACATACCATTGAAATAAATACATATGAAAGACCACAATGGTTTCAAAAAACATTTTCTTCATCTCAACAAAGCATAAGTCCACAATGTCAAGATCTCAATACAGATAAAGAAAGACTAATAGCTCAAAAACCACTGTTACTTCCTTTGAGAAAGATGGCAGAGGACAGTTGCTGTTGATGCAATAACAAGCATTCTAGTGGTCAATATGTATGCGATCCTGATTGCCCATATATGCACAGTGCAGGTGGATGACAGCACTTTGCATTCAGCCAATAGCGTGCTTTGTTGAACAGGAACAGGAAGAGTTACCTAGTAACATGCGTTTGCACTGACCTCTAGTGGCTCGAGTACGGTTGACATGTAGTGAAGTCGTCCTCAAAGCACTGGTCTGGGGTCAGTTTTTTGGGGGGTTAGGAAAAGCTGGTCCTAGATCCAACACTGTCCATCCAACCATATACTTCAATGTGATAACCACTTAGGGCTAGTCCCGGGCTGATGTCACTTCCTGGTTCTGCCAGGTTCAGGGAGTTAGCTGTCGTACCAATCCAGGAAGAGCAGAGAGAAGGAGCACATGACAAGGAAGAAGAGGATCCAGACACGGAATCCAGCATTGTTTTTGATGGCCTGAAAACAAGTTAAGCGTACAATGAAACCACAGAGCTAAAACAGATCACTAGCTGTGTTGAGCAACCTCAAGAGTCAGTTCTGAATATTTGGTTTAAAAAAACATTTATTAAAGTTATATCCAATGGAAACCTATGGACACCCCCGTAATCTAAAAATACAATAATATACAGTATAACGAGTAGGGAAAACTACTGGGGTTGTTTAGCATAACCTGCCATTACCTCTCGGATGTCCTCGTTTCCCTCTTTGACGTTTTCAGTGGCTCCCACGACTAGCTGATGGATACTGTCGATCTCAGTTTCCTGTGAACAACAGATAAACAGGAAATAAGCAACACACACTAATAACACTTTATTAAGTTGGATGGACATTCTTTTCAATAGAGGCATTTTCCTTCAGGGATGGCCAAATGGACCAGAGGGAATAAGGAGGTCACTCACTTGCATTAGCACCTTCTCCGCAAAGATCTCCTGGAGTCGTGAGATCTCGACGACCTTGCCCTCAATTTGCCTGAAAGACATTAGGAGGAGATCGGTTCATCTTTTTCACCTTTGCTTCACCTCAGTCATATCTAGGAATGTAGTGGTAAAAATGGGCTGAAGGACTGATTAAACACTCACCTGACTTCATCTACTAGGTTGCTCATCTCGCTCACCAGCCTCTGGTTCTCTTGTTCAAACTAGACAGAGTGAAACAAGTATTGTAAATGCTGTGTAGATGATTCTGAGATATCAGACAACAACGTAAAGGCATTAATAGAAGAGGTGTAACACAATGCATTGGAGAGAGGGAGAGCACATGGAAGCATACACAACATCTCTGTTCCATACCATCTGCATCTCCTCAGGTGAGAGCTCGTCCTCCACACGGCCCTGGCCCTCCTCCCACAGGCTCACGTTGTTCTCCGGCACCTCCGCCACACTCCGTTCTTCAGGGAGAAAACAAAGGGAGAAATACACCCTCTTCACTTTAAGCTCACGCAAACATCAAGTCACTCCTGTGACTGTCATAGCCATTGATTTTCCACTCTATCCATTTCTCTTTATTACACAAACATCAAGCCACTCCTTTCATAACCCTCTCATTACCTCTATCCATTTCTCTTTATTACACAAACATCAAGCCACTCCTTTCATAACCCTCTCTTTACCTCTATCCATTTCGCTTTATTTTAAATACAGAAGTTGACAATTTTCATTCAAACATTTGTGTTTTAGGCACTTGTAAGATTTCCACGTGCAAATAGCGCTAAATGTCAATGAATATACCAGTAGTAGTAAATAAATCAAATCAATGAGAGAATAACATGTTACATGTAGAGATGTGTGGGGCTGTAATAAACATTTACATTTTAGTCATTTAGCAGACACTCTTATCCAGAGCGACTTACAGTTAGTGAGTGCATACATTTTCCATACTGGCCCCCCGTGGGAATCGAACCCACAACCCTCGACAAACACCATTTAAATAGTCGGCTGTAGTGACTCAAAATAGATGTTCTTTCCACACAGAGTCTCTTTGGGATCTCGTCTTTGTCTCTGTACTCACCACCGCTGCTGTTCTCCTCCTTGGCTGATTTCTCCTCGCTGTGCTGCTCCACCAGTGCGCTTCTCTCTACCGCCACCCTACTGTGGTGGTGCTCTGGCTCTAGTCTGGACCTGGAATAATATCAAACACCGTAGACAAGGTCAGGCTTCCTAAAAGCCCCCAAAACACTTAAAGCAAGGTCACAACATATATTATGGAGATAGCTTACTGCCAAAATGTTATAAATGAATGAAGAATAATTCACAAATAAATGATGTGTTATGAATATACAGACCTATACACATTTGTCAGAATTCATCTCAACTGTCCCTGAAATCAATTCTGTCAATAAATGAATAATTCAAGGTATTTTTTTCCATAATAGATGTGATTCATTTTAACCTTCCATTGAAAAACATTGCTCTTTAAATACTCACAGTCTCTTCTTGTCCACCACTCTCTTCACTCGTATAGCCCTCTGCTCGGAGTAAAGCTTGCACACTCCTGCAAACAGGAATGATCAACACAAATCAGATATGGTCTACATTATTATAAAGTACTTACAATATGCACTGACATCAATTATATATCGTGACATCATCAATGAGCCCACCTCTCAAATATATCTCGATAAGGTCGAGGACCGCCCCCCTGTGCTCTCTGATCTGTGTCGATATGACCTGCTTCTCAGCTGGAAGGGCGACAGTAAATGACAAAAGGGTTCTTATTATTGTGTATTATACAGTATGTCCAGTACATGCAAGCCAATGGACTCAAACACACACACACACCTTCAGAGCGGAGCTGCTTGATGGCCTCAGAGCAGGTTCTCATGAAGATCTGGGCGTCCTGGTCGATCTGGTCTCGCTCATTGTCGGTCATCCGGGTTAGGTCTGACGAGATGAGACTGCAAACACACAAAGCAATTGAAAGGAAACTAATCGTATTTGGACCCAGGTCTGCTGTAAACTAGGCCTGCTGATTCTGTGCAGTTACATTTAAAGTGTTTAGCCTATGTTGCCCTCTAGTGGATTCCTACTGTACAGGTAATAGATCATTGTCTCAGAATGATAGTTCTGTGATGACTGACACATGCTAATTTTCATTTTCTGTCGAAGAAAAGAAAAAGGCACCCAGACCTTTCTTGTGTTTCCAGTGTTTAGTTACAACAACAAAAAACTAAATACTTAAGTCAATTCTATGGGAAGATCGTATAATGTACTTCTTCCCATGTAAACTAATAATATGTTTTTATTTATTACATTTTTAATGCATGTGACAGGTTTTTTATTATATATATTTTTTAGGCTAATAGATCCAAATTGCTGGCTCTAAACTAAGGCAAGAAAATGTGAAAACTGCAAGGGCCTGAAAAAGTTTTTCAAGGCCCACCATGCGTGCTCACACACACTGCCCTCGGGGCCTTAATCAGATGAAGTCTAGGATTAGTCCCAGGGCGTGATTTGCTCTACACTTGGTTGCAGCTCAATTATTCCACCCAATTAGACTGAGTATCCAAAAGACCACCCCACTCGCTACTGACCTTGTGCCAGAGCCTGCCTTCCCCAACCACCCACCTCAATTAGACCAGTCAGACCTTTGAGTCTGCAACACAGCCTGTAGTCAACTCTGCTGACTGACTGACACACACAGCACTATGAGCCAAGTTCTGACAGACCCCAATGTTCCATCAGTAGCTCCAGCCACCTTAGCCTATATGATTATGCTTTTTAGTTAATGTCGTCAACTTCTTTAACAATGAAGGCTCTAGGGTTGAGAAGGTTAAAACCTTTTTGCATCCTTTATGAGAATGACCTTTTTTCTCTTTGAAACATCAATCAAGTTGTCAAAGGTTAGATATATCCCAATCTACATGGAGGCCGAGCCAAACCCTTCCTGGGGGATTTTCTTTAGGTCAAACGTGAAAAGGGATTAGCCTACATCTTATAGCCACATGAAAGTCACTGTTGAAAGTGACAGAAAACAGACAGTAAATAGGACAGGGTTTGGTGGCCTGAGACGAGGCTTACCTTCCAGCATTCACATAGTCCTTCCTGTGCTGCAGCAGAAAGTCTTTCAGCTTGGTGATGTTGGAGATCTGTCAAAATGAAGAGAAAACACATGTTACAGAGAAGTTTATCAATGTCTTCATGTCTCTCTCTCTATTTGTTGGCTACATCTCAGTTCCTCTTCATGATTTTGTCCCTGTCATTGTGGACTCATTTCATTGGTAAAATGCACATGGAAAGTTAGTTTTCTTTGAAAAACCAAACCACTGTAAATATCTAGAAGTCTTAAGAGATAAGACTTAAAAAATTGTAGACCTCCACAAGTCTGGTTCATCCTTGGGAGCAATTTCCAAACGCCTGAAGGTACCACATTCATCTGTACAAACAATAGTACGCATGTATAAACACCATGGGACCACACAGCCGTCATACCGCTCAGGAAGGAGACGCGTTCTGTCTCCTAGAGATGAACGTACTTTGGTGCGAAAAGTGCAAATCAATCCCAGAACAGCAGCAAAGGACTTTGTGAAGACGCTGGAGGAAACAGGTACAAAAGTATCTATATCCACAGTAAAACAAGTCCCATATCGACATAACCTGAAAGGCCGCTCAGCAAGGAAGATGCCACTGCTCCAAAACCACCATAAAAAAGCCGTACTTTTTGGAGAAATGTCCTCTGGTCTGATTAAACAAAAATAGAACTGTTTGGCCATAATGACCATCGTTATGTTTGGAGGAAAAAGGTGGTGGCTTGCAGCCGAAGACCACCATCCTACCCGTGAAGCACAGGGGTGGCAGCATCATGCTGTGGGGGTGCTTTGCTGCAGGAGGGACTGGTGCACTTCACAAAATAGATGGCATCATGAGGAAGGAAAATTATGTGGATATATTGAAGCAACATCTCAAGACATCAGTCAGGAAGTTAAAGCTTGGACGTTAAAGCTTGGACGTTAAAGCTTGGAGGTCTTGGCTGATTTCTTTTGATTTTCCCATGATGTCAAGCAAAGAGGCACTGAGTTTGAAGGTAGGCCTTGAAATACATCCACGGGTAGACCTCCAATTGACTCAAATGATGTCAATCAGAAGCTTCTAAAGCCATGACATCATTTCCTGGAATTTTCCAAGCTGTTTAAAAGGCACAGTCAACTTAGTGTAACTTCTGACCCACTGGAATTGTGATACAGAGAAATATAAGTGAAATAATCTTTAAACAATTGTTGGAAAAATTACTTGTGTCATGCACAAAGTAGATGTCCTAACCGACTTGCCAAAACTATAGTTTGTTAACAAGAAATTTGTGGAGTGGTTGAAAAACGAGTTTTAATGACTCCAACCTAAGTGTCTGTAAACTTCCGACTTCAACTGTATGTGTGTGTGTACATATATATATTTTTTATAGACACATTTTCTCCTCTCCTGACAGCATGTGCTGCAATAAAAATAGAATGAATAGAACGGGTGTCCCCATTCAAGTCAATAATGGCATAATGGGTGGACTGGAAGCCATTATGAGTGCATCCGTAGGAGCTAAGCTAGGTTGAAGATGACAATATTAGATGTCTCGCACAGCCAAATGCTGGTAAGACATCTGGGAGGTTGGTGGATTTCATTCATTCACTGGTGGACCAAAGAGTTAGTTTCAGGCTCTGCTTGCATGTCTCAAGTTAGGCCTTCCTTTAAAATGACCATATTTAGCATTCATTGACTGTGACAGGCCACCTTGTCCATCTGTCTCCCTCTATCCATTCTGAATGTTTACCAATTAATATTTGTTTACGGCAGGACATACCAAAATCAAACTGGCAATTTCCTTGTTAAATAGCCTAGCTCCAGTAAATAAAATTATACTCTCCTATACACTGTAGTTCCCTGACAGAAAACATTTAAATATGCCTGAAATGTATTTATCACAGATAAAATGTCCGGGAAGATGTGTGCACAGGAAAACCAGAGGAAACTCGGTTGAATCCAATATTTGCTCCTATAATTCGGTTAACATCGAAAAACTCCTAATTGCTTCCCCATCAACAGAGTGGAGCACAAGAAGGACAGACAGTACACACACAGCAGGCTCTGTTTGCGAAAATAGAAGAAAAAACCTAAGAGAGAATCCAGACAAGCGCCATATTGAAAATGACACAATGAGTTCGACTGTGACAGAGACCCAGGGCGAGCGGGATTATTTTTGTAAAGCCAAACCGCGGCGTCTTCGGTCCAGTTTTTTTCTTCTTCTAATGACCGTAATTACCAAATTGCTGCAGTGGTAAAGCACGACCTGGGTCTTAGTCTCTAATGGCGACTCTAAAAATATAAACGAGAAGAAAACGACAAGGCTTTGAAAAGAAAGTTAAAAAATAAATAAATACAGAGCTACAATTTGCTTGAAACCCATCACCTCTCCTAGAAAGCAAATAAGCCTAGATGTCTCGAGGTGTGACATTGCTTCAGAGCAATTAGAACCAAGCAGGTTTAAGATAACCGAGTAAAGGGCTGTGGCAGCGAGTCGACCCTTGTAATAATACAATTATCAGGGGTCAAATGTTAATCGTTGTTCAGAGCACTTGTGCTTGTGAACGGGTTGAGTGAAGAAAAACGTTCCCATGGTTGAAAGGCAGGAGTGTGTTGTTGTCTGCTGTCTGTGTTGTTGTCTGCTGTCTTGTTAGATTCAAGACGAATACCATCTGGGATGGGCAACTCCAATCCTTGGATGCCTGAGTGTCTTCATTTTCTCTTCTCCCATACACTCACTATATAAATCACAGCTATAAACCCATATCATGCTAATTTGGCCTACAACCAAGGGTCACTAGATCACTGATGTGCTATTTGAAATAGGCTACATTCTTCTGCTTTTGTAACACACCTCCTCACCAGCAGGTAGCACTAGGCTGCCAGTATTGGAGCCCCAATGGCTTTCAGGAGAGAACAGAGGAGAAGAGAGAAGATGTCAAGAGTGCTGGTTTGGGGGGTTGATCTGTCTCCTGTGTGTATACATTTGGGCTCAGATTCCCACTGCAACCTCCAGGGTTTTTCGGGGGTCACTGGGATCAATTGCTCTTGTAACTTAAGACTCTAAAGAGCTAGTAATACCTAAACAATGAGGAAGGGGGTAGCCTTGTGCTTGTGGCTGTAGGAGTGTGCGAATGTATATGAATGTGCTTGTGCGCGTGTGTGTTGTGTTTGGAACGAGGCAGCAGGAGGAGACAGTCTGCCGGGCTACATCTAATCTCATCATCATCAAGGACCCCCACTTTATCTTCTCACTCTCCCCTGCCCCTCAGCCTGTACGAAGCGCAAACAAACCATCACAGTGCATTATTATAAACATTTTTAAAAGGCTTAGCCAGCTGATTTTTTAAAAAGTCAGTCTGGGTAGGCTCTTTATTTTACTAAAACCAGGTAACTGAGATAATTTGATAATGATCACCCAGCAGTCGTTTAGGTCTCCATTACTTGACCCCTAGCTGTCCATTTTGAAGCCTGTCCAAATCTGATTTTAGATCTATAGACTCTATAACTAGCCTAATTGTTAAAATAAGACACTGTGAGAAACACTTAAAGCTCTTTGCAGTGGAGGGGACGTCGCCGCGTTGATTTTATCAATGTGTTTACGTCTTACTAACTCTTGTGTATTAGAAATTGAGATTTCTGGTCAGTCACAACAACACAGTCAATAAACTACACTCGCATCCAAAGGTATCTAGGAGCTTTTAAACAAATAGTTGTCTAGAGTGTGCATTTTTTAGGGTAATAATCTCGACTACAGCATACATTCCTAAACTTCTCAGATTTCAAAAGAAATACAAATAAATAGAAAAATAAATTAAAACCAAAATAAGTTGTATTGTTTTAGTTAAAACTAGGTGTAAGAATAATGCGTTGTTCGCATAGCAGACTCATGGCGGCAGGATGATACCGGATGTCATTGTTTTCAATGAGATGACGACAGCAAATTCTGCCACAAAATACCATCCACTGCGTCCACTTTGTGGTTCAAAGTGCTGTATTTATTCAGTTTTACATTTTGGCCGGAAGTTAGCGTGTTCTTCTAACCAGCTAGCCAGGCCAACTGCCAAGAAACATGTATGGTAGTCCACAAGTTTTCATGCCATCATGCCATTCAATCTGACTTTTTTGAGTCACGTACTTGTATGCAGCATAAATGAAGAACAAAGTATACGTTTAACTAGGAGACCACTGTCGTTCTCCTGTTGCTCTAATGTCAGATGTCGAATTTTTGCCCTCGACAAGTAAATTGTTTCTGAAAAGTCAACAGCATCTTGTTTTGCAAATGCATCCAAGTTGTGCACATCACCGTTTTTAAAAGCATTCTTTTCCTTTTGAACAAACTTGATGAACAAAGGCTCAGAGGTTTATCCTGTTCAAATCAGCTTTCTCTCTCCTGACTACAATGGATGCGAACAATGTCATATTCTAGCTTCATTGAGAAAGAAAGATATTGGGACCACATCAGACTTCCCCTCAGAACCTCTAGCCCAGTCTTTTATTTGAACTTTAATGGAAAACATGACTAACAAGCCAGAACGTTGTGTTGTTTGTTGGGTAGTTGAGCAACACTAATGTTTGGTCTTGTTGCACTTAAGGGATTAATTAATAAAACACTTAGATGAAGGACACATTATTCCTCTCAAGGCCTGTGTATATGGTGCTCACAGTAGAACAGACTAGATCGTACCAATGTAGGCTACCCAAATGCAATGTTAACTGGTAATTAGGCTAGCCTAATTCTTTGACACATGTTCAATGGTTATCGTGTCTTTGTGAAAAAGGCAGGTAAGCCTATTACAAAATTAAAAGGGGACCATCTTGCTCTCCCAGAAGCTTGGCTGGTACGTAAAATCCACAAATTCAGACAAACATTCAGGTGTAATGGGTCCGCACTCAAAAAGATGTCGCATAAAGCGACCTTCATTTTTTATTTAATTATTATTTTCATTTCATTCTTTTCAGGGATAGCATACACAAACGTTTCGGCTTTGCAGCCTTTTTCAGTGTGTAGGTCCAATTTTCTTTTAATTCAAAACAGCATTTGTAGGGAACAACCGATGCAGTGAAAATAAAAATAAATAAAAAATAAATGAAGTAAGCTTTATGCAACACCTTTTGTTTGGCCTATTACAAAAGCCCTGAAATATTTTACAGTTGTTTTGAGAAATGTCACTTTTCCTCTAAGGTTTGTTCTGGTTGTCCCTGAGCCTGAGAGTGGATGTTTCCCTAGTTTGTGATTGAGGAAATTTTTCTGCCTATTTTAATACAGATATGCTAAATGATAGCCTAATTGAGAAATGTTTGAGTAATCAATTATCCTATAGATTACTTATCGTCTTATGTGGCCTAGGCCTATTTGTTAAGGAAGGAGCCTCATTGCTTAATTAAATAATGCCGTTATGGCTCATATCAATCTGAATTTTGCCTTTTTGTTACAATTCCACTGTTTAGACTGCCAAGTATCTGGATTTCATTTGACACTCGTCCACAGACCTGTGTTTGTGCATTTATGTCTCCATATTTTACACTTTATTATATTTTCATTTTTGCAAAACTGGCGAAATCCCCTTTCTTGAAACGTCTGTGGGGAAATGCTAGATAAGATCGGTTCCGCTATTGCATTTGATGCCTCAAAATTCTATTTGCCTGGCCTCCTTGGGAAAACAGAACGGAGATTAAACCAACTGGTAAAGACGGTGTTTAGCAGGACATTCAGCTCAGGTAAAATCCCTCAAATCACAACCTGATGGTGAGAGAATACATTTGCAGTTTTGTGTGAGTGAGTGCGTGAGAAATATAGATATATTTTTTAATAATTTGTGGGAGAGAATGAAGACTCCTGAGACTACAAAACAAATCACTGATCATGACAGCAGATGTAGGTTCATGGCAATTATTGTGAGGTGACTTGCAAAAACTTGCTCTGTGTCAACAGGAAGAACAGGAAGAAATGGGGTGAAGAGATTTGTTCAATTGCTCAAATTAGGTGTGTGATTCTCAGGTAATGGGGCCAACAAATATAACCTAGGCTTGTACCTTATCTCTTAGCCTAAGAGTTAGGCTATGGTATTCTAACTGTAGAGCAGATAAATTCCATCAAAGCATCACATGTACTGCCCTGTGTAAGTACTTCAAAACTTTAGATTTTCCCAGAAAGTTTTTTTTCCCCAATAGGAGAGACTACAAAATTAAGGCTGAAATGGACCCAGGTTATCAAAATGTAACTCAATGTTTTGAGAATATATCAGATTATAATTTCCATTTCAAATTCGCCATATGAGAGGGCAACCCCTACCTCGATCGAGTTTAGTAATAACGCATACTTCTAAGTGCTGGCTGATCACCGCAAAACTGTAAAAAGTGGTCAATTTTGGAACGGCGCTGCTGAAGGCATGGTGGGAAGCCAAACGCAATTTTCTACACACAATTTAACCATTTCGGGGTGACCTCCTGCATTTAAACACGAGAAGAGCAGCCTGCTGTGGAGACGAGGAGGAGAGCGGTGAAACTGAGAAAACAGTGCCCCAAACCGACCCGAGGTAAAAGATTCCCTCCCGATCACCGCACCCCAGACACACACTAGCCCCTCTTATAAGTCCATCAAGCCTTTCGTTTCGCCATCAAAAATGTTAACTTTCTGCAAAGGGTAAAGTTTTGAAAAAACAACAACCCATACATTCTACTTTATATTTGTTTACTTTGACTTTTTTTACCTATCTGTTTTGGGAAGTGTCACT